CACTCAAAATCGAAGTGACATTGTCGAAGGGTAGGAAATGCAAAATATCCAGCTCGAATCATGCAGTTGTCAATATTGATATTTGAACGTAATATCGATGTTACACACCGTCCGTCCGTCCGTCCGTAATATTGTCTCTCGCAGTTTCGCGATACTATTCTCACGATTATACCTGTAATACGGTCAGATCCGAAATCGACGTTACGGCGCTTTATGTGCGGCACGTAGCGCCGAAGACCCTCGAAACTCTTTCGAGGACTTTTCAAGGACTCTCGCGGAGGATCGTTCGCGAGGAGTGCTACGCGTGATTTGTAACGACAGTCTTGGGGGAGATCCGTAGACAGCGGCCGTAATCACAACCGATATAGCGAGAAAAAGAGGCGCTGGACAACGGGAGGGATGAATATAAAAGCTTCGTTGCGGATTTTGAACGCGGACTTAGTTTTTTTTTCTTTTCTTTTCTTTTCTGGGCAGAAGTAGCGGGAACTTCGTGAACTGATAAAGGCCAGAAGTACCTCCGAGAGGCCGAGAGGAAACCGTGTCTATGTCTGCATACGTATATGTGTGTGTGTGTGCGCGCGCGCGCACTGAGTGGATGTATCACGACGAGAAAACTTCCTCTGCTCTCGTGTCCGACTTTTTCTCACCGTTAGCGCCACGCAAAGGAGCTCCGGATTTTCTTTCCTTCTTTCCTGGCTTCCGTGCGCGTCCCGGCGTTTTTTCAACGGCCAAACACTTTCGCTCGATGATAGAAAGAAAAAAAAGGGACGCCAAAAAAAGGCTAATTTGCGGTATCCGTCGACGTGTGAGTTTCAAAGGAAATTTGATGCCTATCTGCTCGAGCGATCGGCGAGCCTCTCGCCGCAGAATCCAAGTAAGCTTGTAAGCTTCCACAGAAACCGGAGTCATTTTGGCGGACAGGTGTCATCGGTCTCTTTTCCTGTAAGATCCAAGTGACAAGCGTCACTCACGTCTCAATTGACAATCCCGAATATCACGTCGCGTTCGAGAGAACGGCGCTAAGCACACAAGGAAATAGATTTCTTTAGGAAAACGGATTCGAATTGTTCGGTTAATTTAGTTGGCGATCGTCGTTTCTGAAGTACAACGACAGAAGTTTGCATTTATTACAAAGCGCGAAGAATAATTTTTAATCCAGCACGAGAATGTATCTTTTTTAATGAGAAATTATACGGCGATGGATAATTATACTAAAAGTTACCATAAATATCGTGTTATAATTTCATTTTATGTTCGACGAGATATACATATAATGCGCATCAGTAACAACTTTCCGTTTGTGCGCAGCAACGTGTTAAAGTTCAAAGGAACCAATTTGGCTTCCTGTCCAAAATGTTTGATGAGGTTACAACGCACATAGGTAATTTGATTTGACGTGCTAAACTCTGCGCGGTCAACATATGCTTAGAACACAATGCGGCTTCGCGTGCGGTTTCACACGGTGTTCCGCGTGCGAACGCAAACGAAGATTAGGATTGCATTAACAAACATAAAATTTAGCGTTCGCGAGAAAATTTTAGCTTCAAATTCGTTCTCAGATGATTATACGAGATTGCATCTCGAATTGTTTGTAATAAAATTTATCGTTCTGTAATCATCGTTTCAGTTAATTATAGATGAAGTGCAAACAATCTTCCAGATTTCAAAATATCACAGTCTCATTTAAGTTTATAAGAAACTTGAGAAAGATAACTTTCTATGCAATAAGAATTAAACGTAGAATATGATATAGTATATCATTAAAATTTGAAGTTCTTCCACAAAGTAAATTTGGAGAAAAAGATACAATTTCATTTTGCTATCTATTCGAAGTATGCCAAATTAAACTTATTGCTTATTATGTTAAATTTATTTACGAAAATAGATTCTTTCGGACATCAGAGTTTCGTTACTTAAAAAAGAAGCAATTAATTTTCGGTAAAAATAAAGTGAAAATTTTGTCGGCTTTAAAAATAAATTACCGCTGATAATACATGTGTTATATTTCACTATCAATTGTCGTAAAGATCGAGTCTTTTGCGTTGCAACAATCTTTTTTTTTCTTTCGTTTTCGCTTCCACGCTTAAGCTTTTTCAACAAACGACGCATTCACTCGCAATTTACTTGTTCTTTACACAATGTACTACTTGTGGCCAAAATATACGAGTGGACAGATAAATCGGCCATTGTGTGCGTACACTTGCGTGCGTAACGTGCGAGTTTGTGCATCTTTGTGCTCGGCAGCGATGGCGACGACGACTTACAACGCGCGGCTTTGTTACGCGCGACAAGTCGCGCGTACAGAAATGAATTTATGCGCCGGTATATATCCACCTACGCCGACATATTCACGAGTTTCGCGAGCTCGACCTGAAGGCTAGTCCGTAAATTTTCCCACTGAATGACCGCTTTTGCGGCCTGGGGATATGCGTGCGTCTCGAATGATTACACACCGTTGTGTAATGTTGCAACTGATCAGCATTAGCGGATGAAATAACGCGTTGTGTTTTTCAGCGAACGCTGACTTTGCTATAAGTTTTGCGCGCAGAAGAAAATGGTAACGACGGAGAAGTATTTTCTTCGTCGTTTATCATCGTTATTTCAACAAGATTGAGATAATTTGAGATAAATATTTTAAACTTTAACTTCTCAACTCCGAGAAAAAAGATATAGCTCGGCACAAAACCGTGAAATATAGAATTACGAGTAACTCAAGTAATTTAATAATGAAACAATGTACTTATCTATAAGTGCTTTTCTGTGCTTTTTTAATTCGCAAAACATTTTTAAATAACAAAGCGGCGAATCGTTTTCGGTCACAAATAAATGCATAAATGCATTCATAGCTGTGAAGTGCATCTTATAAATCCATCTAAAAGCGGACACCAAATAAAGCTTCGATGGAAATACCTTGTTCCACAATATTATCTTTGCTTTATGCATATCTCACGCGTGATCGTTATATCATTACAAATACACGGGGAATGTGAAATGTAATACAGCCGGGCGTCGCGCGAGTTATAGGAAACATGGCCCGCGTTAAGCAAGTTTCGCGCCCGCAGCATTCCGTCGCGCACCGTCGCATTGTGCACCGCTCGCTTTACGTAACAAATTACATCGTCATGTTTCGCGTCCCGAGCAAATATAATTCAACTCTCCGCGTTTTCCCGGTACCGCCTACGATCCCGCTATTAAAACTTCGGACCATCGCCGCCGCCGCCGCCGTCACGTTATTGCGACGCGTGTGATTATTTATTCGTCCGATGCCGCGGAATTGTTTTGCACGTCTCGATCCCTGCGTACGCGATCCGCGCGGTCCATAATTATGTTGGCACGGGCGCAAGCTTATAAATGCGCTTCGCGTGGCGCGAAAACGGAATGGCGGCGCGCGGCGCGGCTGAAGAATCGCATGGATTTATAGTAACCGCCGCTACTTGTAAATATAGCGGGCCGCGTGGATCTCGCGGTTGCGGATTTACGAGACAACGTGATTCGAATATCGAGACGCGCGGGAGACGCTCGCGTCGCGTCGCGTGTGCGCCCCGAGTAAAATACGCGTATGTGTGAGTCTCGCGCGAAAGTGTACGGACGCGTGTATTACAAAGTGCGTTTAAACGACAATTTGCTGGCGACATGACGTATCCCGCGATTTAATGCGTCGCGTATGCAAAATGGATTTATGCAAATGTCAGTGCGGATGCATTTATGTGTCGCAGTGACACCGCCGCACATTTGCGCGTACGCGTTGCGTAAATCCGCCTGAACGCACGCGACAACTACAATGTGCCGTTTCGCGCGCTTCATGTTTCGCGGCAGGTGTTTTGTTTTCACGTCACCGATCGCGCTATAATTATATAACGCTTATTTTGTAACGAGCAACCAGCGAGCCAATTTCTGCCTAGCCGTGGAATTTTCCTGCGAAATGTCGGACTCGCGTCGCCGGGACATCGATGCACAATCAATGAATTGACTCAAGCGGAAATCGTAAGCCCCGCTTCGTCGGAGACCGGTCCTCCATTTTCAGCGGAATACGCATCGCAGCTTTGCGATATGAGAGGAGGAAGAGAACGTAAGAACGAAAGTTCAGGAAAAAGATAAGATCGATTCCGGCAAACGTAGCTCGTTATCAGCGTATAAGACAGAAGTTTTTCATTCCGGCGGAGTTTCCACCTTTCCGTATCCCCTTTTGCTCTCTCTCTCTCTCTCTCTCTCTCTCTTTTCTTTGCGCCGCACTTTTTTCCTCCTCTCACTCGCAACCCATTTAATTAGCTTCTGATTATCGCGCCGCAGCCGCTCCTTTATCCCTTTTGTTTGTCCATAATTAACATCCGACCGCGTTGCCATGTTACGCGCGAAGGAAACTCCGGCGGGTTGCTTTTTCGCGAATTACTCGACTTTCGCACCTTCCTCATCGACGTTTCGCCGCGATAAAAGCGGCGTCGTGGTTATTTCGGTTTACGCGTCGCTCGTTTGCCTGCCTCGTGCAACTTTATCGTGTACGGCGTTCCGAGCTTTATTCGAAGTTGATTTTATCTTAAATCGCGTATAGCCGCGATTCGGTTAAAGATATTTTCAGGGAGAATTCGGGAATTCTTCGGGTTTCACAGGTTTAAAACTTTTTTTCCGAAAATTCGACGCGTCTCCCTCAAAGTTCTGGATAACGCCTAAAAAAGTTTTATTAAAAAGGTGTTATAACTTAAATCGAATCTGATGAAAATGGAAAAGTTATTATCAATTTTCGCATAGCGTAAACATGAAGTTGACATCTCCGCATCTTTCTTTTCTTTTTAATTTAATCGCCAAAATTTTTTCCAAAATAAATTACAAATTCGAGAATTTTTTTAGAAAGAGCCGGAATTCTACAACTTGTATAGAAATTTGAAAAATGGCACGCAAACTTCGCAGAGTTATTTGAGATTAAATCCTTATTTTGTATACAGCAATGTATTTTCCTCATTTAATGTAAATTGTACAAGAAAATATCAAAATGAGGAAAATACCAAAATACTCATTTTTCTTCATAACGTTGACTTTTTCTCTCGTCGACGTCACCCGATAAGTCCGCGATGACGGGTTCCATTTCGCGCGAAAGCTCGCATCATTTGTTCCTGGAAGGAAGATTAGACTCCTGTTTGTTATCCGAATTGAAACTGCAAAGGGCGGAAGGTTCGTAAATATTAAAATAACGGACGGAATGTCATCATCGTGGCAAGTTTTGTGCATATAATTATACGACGCCTCCAGCAGCATTTTCGCATCTCGCGCACGCTTCAAGAAGTTTGTCAACGAAGAGACTGACGTGCTCTGTAAAGTCTCATAAACTTCCAAAGTATTTCCGTGGATCGTTGCTTCGTTTCCCTTTGCGACGGGACAGACGAGTTCGTTTTTATTTTAATCTCGCCCACTCAACGAATAGACGATATCAAAAGAATAAAATTGTAAAATTTCATCGATCGCTCTTGATCTTTTTCGCAGACTGCGCCCGCATTTGCTTCGTGGTTCTTTTGTAAGAATCGCAAACGTTATTCCCACTTTTGAATTTTTTGCGGAACGACGAAGATTTCACGGAAACGATCGCCGCAATCAAGTCCGACTTGTAAATGGTGATGACATTACACATAATTTAAACCCCCCGAATGTAATCTTAGACAAGGTTGACATTACGTGATACGAAATGAGGCCAAGTCGAATCATTACCGCGCTACTAATTGTGCGGGGCATTTAAATCCCTACGGAACGTCGTTACTCGATGCCGGGGATTTCATCGAATTAAGTCGAACTTACAACCGGACTGACAATGAATCCCGCGAATCTCATTTCTTGCTTCTACAAAGTCCACATCAAAGATTAATATCTTAGCATCTCCTCGCTTTTGCAGAAAGCTCACCAACACATTGGCACTTCCTTTATCCAGTTAGCTATTCACAGCTATTCACGATCTTACGTACAAGAAAGAGACAAAGGTGTATGAGTGAGAAAAATTGGATAAAATTTGAAAAATTGCATTCAGCGCTTCATCAACCTAAATGCCGTAGCTCTTGGAACGTTAATTAGCAGCAAATTAATCCATCGTTATCTTTATAAATTACTGTCGGTAATTAGTCAAATGACTCGACGCAACGTTCGATTCAATCCCGAAAAAATTAATGTATAATTCTTAAATCTAATTTTATACTTTATACTATCATTTCGGTTAGAACATTAAGCACGTTAAGCTGACGTACTATATTCAGAGCGCGGAATATGTGCTGCGGCGAAATAATGCGGCGGCATGTAGATTTGGGGATATACATACATTATGAAGGCCGCCCGAAGACTCACCTGAATCCGCGCAAACGGATTCCGACGGGATATGATTTAAGGCTGAAAACGCGACTGAACAGTGCATGGGGCGCGGCGCTCTTTCGACATTATTTTCCAAAGAAATATTACCGCAAAGCGTTAAGCTAACATTATATCGCTCGAGGAAGAAAAATGTTTCGAAAACTTATCCATGCACACTTTTATCCCTCGTATTCAAATATTTCCTTTCCATACATACATTTTCCCGCGACAAATTTCCGCGAGGCTTTCGCACATCGGTCCGATTCGCACGCGTACTTTACTTCAAAGTGTTTAGAGCCGCATGAGATCAATGAGAACGGTAAAGTAGTGTAAGAGAGAGAGAGAGAGAGAGAGAGTCCGCTTTCATGCGCAGTATACAACATTCCAGTAGCGATATCGAAATGCGCGTCGAAATGAGAGATCCGGTTCGAAATTCCAAAACGAGCCGCGCGTGAAACGAGCAGGGCGCGATACCAAATGTGACACCGATTCGCGTCATTACCGCAGCTATGCCTAGTTATACGCGCTATCTAAATCCCCATGGAAGTCTCGTTAGCCGACGTCGGGACCTCGTTAAAGCGACCCAATCTATTCCCGGCCCCCGAGTACCGTCGGTCCGCCGCGACCCTTTTACAAGCGTCGCGTAGCTCGTCACCAGTATCTCTCGGCAACGCCTTCCCCCTAGTTCATCCGATTGAATTATATCGTTACACTTCGATTGCCTGCTCGATGGCTTACGACGGTCTTTCCTTCCGCGCGTTACGCTCGCGTCCTTCGACGATGAGAAACTCCGTTTGATGGCATCGATTAGCGCTAAACTCTGCCTAACTAAATACTCTTTCTTCATGTTCCGACAATAATCGTTCCTCATTTTAACGACGGATCCCTTCGAGGAACACAACTCCGCCCGAAGGCGAATTGATTTAGCTAATTGCATCGCGTCGCGCGAAGCTTCCGCTTTGATTTGCGCGCGAGTGAATTTTTTTAAATATAATTGAAAGAAAAGTTCATGAAAATAAAGTATAAAATTATTTACATATAATTATTAATGTCGGGATAGAGAAAATAGAAAGATCGTTATTTCAGCTCTGAAATTATTATTACTTCGAAGAATCACTGCTTGAAGCCAAATGTTACACCGCAAATTTGGAGGCTGCTGTTTCTCAAAGGATTTTCCGAGTAGGGCTTAATCTAGACCTCGCACATTACGGCGTCTTCCGTGTAATGACGGTGTACGTGTTAATTATTGATGCATCTTGCGTTTCCGCAAACTCCCTAATGCGTTTCCATTTTCGAGTCCGCCGGGATGTCTGACTCCTCTCGACGGAGATGCGATAATATCAGTGTTTGCTGTGCATCCATAAATATCGACGCAAATCCGATCAACGGCGCAGTACCAATTTTAAAAATACTGCTTTTATAAGGGAGCTTTGGTTTTCGTAGAAAAATTCACTTTATTGAATACCTGTAGAGTAAACGATACACAGGAGTACGTTATGTATATACATCACACACCGATATAATATCATTAAATCGAAATTGGGAAATATAGTTATAATAATGTATAATTATATCGCGAGTGGCCCGGAACTGGAAATGCATTGCAAATTTGCGAAAATTGTATATCGGTATTGTACACCGGTAATTAACACGTACGCTCTGCCTCTGTTACACCGTACGTCACCCAAAAGTATTAATATATAATTAAATTAGTTGGAAGTAACACTAAAATACAAAACATGATATTATTATTACATTTAATTAATTCTACGAACACTTTTATTTCAAATAAGACACCCTCATTAACTGCATAACAAATTTATTTTAAGAAAAATAAGATTAAAGCCTTTTATGTAATTCTTAGTAATTTTCTGAGATACTCATCAAGCCTTCAAAAGTCTGGAGGGAGATTATAGATCTGTTTATGGATTTTGAGAACCAAACATTTTTAAAAAGTTTTAGCATCACCGTAACGAGTTTATTTTTTCAATAGCGCTTGTGAATTGGGCCGCAATTGCGCTGATTGCGAGAACATCTCAAATAATTAACTAAACTTACGATGAGATATCAAGCAGTGATTTGGTGACAGCAATAACTAGAAGATTTCTCGTGATATTAGATAGACTAAATTTAATCCTCCCTAATAATGAGATACGAAACGATGCACCTATCAATAATCCGGCAAATCGGTGCACAGCGTTGCCTACATTAATTATTGTACAGTGATTAATTGGATCGGATGTAGTCGCTAAGACGTAACGCTGTTTAATGTCACTTAACAAACGACAGAGAGCTTAGCTTATTCAGGAGTATAACGTATGACATCCTGCTTTGGGAAGACATTTTGCGGCTTCCACGCCGGAAATCGAAATGCGGTTTTGACGCTGATTGGACGTCGATTAAATTAGACATTGTAAGTATCGCCGAGGAGAACCGTAAGCGTTACCGAGAAAAAAATGTTGTTTACGGTTATAACGAAAAGTACAAAGCACTTCAAAGAGACGTTTTTCCATCCTTTGGATCTATATTTTTCACCTTTTTGTCGTCTCGCATATACAATGGATTGTGTGCTGCAAAAGAGTTTTTCGCGTAGAAAAGCTGATATCGAACTTTGATTAGTTATCACTTGGTTAAACGTGCCATATTTTGCGAAACATACAAATCGCTTTCATAAAAATCACTTAAAGAAAAAAAATACTACATAAATATATTGTGATATTAAAAACGACCATATTAATGGGACATAGCGACACGCTTACGGTTTTCCAATCATGTCAGGAATACTTCAACGCGTCCGTTTCGCGTCGAAGTATCTCAGCTAGCGGAGAGAATTCCGAGATATTTGAATCGACGGTGACACATAGATTCGCTTCGGTGCGCACACGCTGAAATCTGCGAGTGGAGAATATTTGAATAGCGGCCGTAAAGATTACGGCGCACGTCGGTTGGGGAACAAAGCTCGAGGGGAGGACGAAGAAAAAGTACTTGCATTCGGAGGTGCTCGGAGATGTTCCGGCGGAAAAGAAATCTTTGACTCTTTATTCGGCCCGAGAACCGGAAGATAAGTTCCTTTGAGGCTGTTCCGTCCTAATGAAGCTCCTTGAGGCTGTGGCCCGAATTTATTATCTACCATTCTTGTGGCCCACTCTAGAAGATTGAGCGAAGTTGGCGCGAAATAAGATTGACGCGTTTATAGCAGATGCGAGATCCAAGCATAGATAAATTATTGTCCGAGACAGCGTGGATCAATTTCACTAACGCTAATTGTTTTCGGCCACAATTTAATTTTCCGTTTTTGCCTAGATGATTTTTGTTGCGTAAATTATCCCGTCTATTATCTGTATCATGAATGCAAATTGGATAGCAAAATTAGTATCTCGCGCGGCTGTATAAATCGATCGCGCTTCAACAAAATAATAAATAAGCGGATAATGGGGCGCTAATGCGCGCGCATATCCCTAATGATCGTGCTCGATAAATCTGAATTAATTTGGATGCCGATGGATATCGCGTAAAAACCTAATAAATTCCGTCAGTCATATGCTAATGCTGACCTGGAAAAGATTGAAGTGCCCGGCGCCGTTCCCGAATCGTGCACCACATTGGCGATTATTTATAAAACGGCCGTGCGTAGATCGGCGAGTAGAGCGATGCGTCGCGAGTGATTGTTTTACCTACGCAGAAGGAAGGTTTTTCAGTTCAAGGACGAATACAAATGGCGTTCCGGAATGTGCGGATATCTCCGAGATAGCTGGCTTGACGAATTCGAAATCGATTTCTCTCT